TTGTCTTTACTTTTATGTTTATCATTTTCTTCATCTACATATTCTATATAAGTAAAGTGTTTCAATTTATCTTGGTCTTCATTTTTGCCTTTATCTTTACACATCTTTGTTTTTGTTTTTATTTTTACCTTTGCCTTTATCCATGTGCGTAGTCATTTTTACTTTCATTCTTGTATTGGTCTTTTGCTAAGTGTTATTCTTTAACCTTTTATTAGCAAATTTTTGTTAAATTAATACCATATGCATACACACAAGAAGTACTTGTTTCAGCCCCAACCATTTCCGGTGCACCATTTCCATGGCAATATTTCCGTTGCATCATTTCCGTGTGCAATTTCCGTTGAATTTGCCAATTTACTCCCAACCAACCAAACAACCGCCGCTAAAGAAGTTTCACTTCAAAAATACCCACAAATGTTGTTTTTACTCTAATGCTACTACCTGTTTGATATGCCTTGGCATCACCACTTTTTGATATTGTGTCTGACATTACTTACTTATGTATATGGTTTTATAAATTTTATAGCAACGAAAAAGCAAATATTTATTCCCTGCACAACAATGTCTTACGCTGACCATCGGAAAGGTACGCGCAATCAATCTGATGGAGTATTCGACTCTGATTACCTCGCAACTAGTAAAAACGACTTTCAGAGATCAGTAACAAATTGCAAGCTGTATCCAAGACATGGAATCATGTTCTCAAAAGAACCTGAACTGGATCGCTTTCCCTACCGCAAGGATTTGAGTTATTTGCCCACAACTCTTCACCGCAATTCTCTAGATTCGGGTTCGAGAGACTCGCTAGAAGGTCACTTAAATCCCACATCACCGCGTTTGAAAGCAGGTAAATACTATAAAGTTATAAGAATACAAAATCTCAATTTTTAACGAAGGTGCGAACAATACTGCCGAACGACGTGTGACGAACGTCGTAATGACACCTAGCGCATGTAAATCAAACCCTCCGGGTCTACATCACTTTAAACCCAACACAAAGGTAAATGTGGTTGAAATGAAGCTAAATCACAACGCAATCAAAGAAGAGAGTCCGGTACATCACTACACTTATTGCCAGTTTTTCCAAGAGGCTAAGCGTAAAAAGTCTAAGACGCGCGGAACACAATCTTTATATCGGTAAGTTGTTGTTTTTGCATATGTTGTGTACAGAGCTATGCAAGTATCTTCGGGATAGTGCTGGGCAGTATCCATACGAAAAGTACTCAAAACTCTAAAAAGTATCGACGGTACCCGATTTTTAAAAGTATCCATACTGA